GAGAGTGAGAGTGAGAGTGAGTATGTATATATCAGGGGTGGTGATGGCCTCCTGGTATTATCACTAGAATATTAATCCAGAGATAAAGGTAATGTCCTGGATACCAGGGTACGAACCCGCTCCCCCCCTCCAAAAAAAAAGATGGTGTCATTTGAATTCAATTTTTTTTAGAAAAATCAGTAATTAAGAGTCTAACGATGGTCATTGTCGATTGTTGGAAAACCTCATCTGGTTCACTAATGTCCTTTAGGGAAGGAAACTGCCATCCCTACCTGATCTGGCCTACATGTGACTTCACAGAAACGTGGTTGACTCTTAAACCGCCCTCTAGGCAATAAGGGATGGGCAATAAATGCTGGCCTGGCCAGCGATGCCCTCATCCCATGAATGAATTTTAAAAAGTTTATAAGCCCCTAAGAGTAACTATAGTGTAGGACACAGAATAATTCTGGAGATAATGATGGCATGTAAAAAAGGCAGTATATTAATCATGGGTGACTTTAATGTTCATGTAGATTGTGCTTGTTAGATTGGCAGAGTTAGTCATGAGGAAGAATTCCTAAAGTGTATGAGGGACACTTGCCTAGAATAATATGTTGTGGATCCAACCAGGGATCAGGCTATATTGGATTTAGAGATGTGTAATGGGGCATAAGTGATCTGAGTAAAAGATCCCCTCAGAAACAGTGACCATAACATCTTTGAATTTCGGGGTGTAATTTTAAAGACCTAACATAAGAGCACTTCCTGCACTTATGAAAGACTTTTTTATGCTGTCCCTCATCGTGTTCCAATTTACAAATGGACACCAGAAGGGGACCCATTTACAACCTGAGAATGACTGTAGTCTTAGCATAGGTTATCACTGTACATGTTATATATTTAGTTAGTTTTACTTCTTACTTCACTTAAGTCTTTTCCCTATAAGACACGCCAATCTTATTTGCTTCTACTTATGTAGGGATACCATATAGGTATGGCAGAGTCTCCTTCAGTTCCAGTTACCCAGAGATAAGAAATCATGTCCAGATTATGGAAATTTAAATCCCTGTTCTGGTTCTTTCTCAATAATTCCAATCTGCTGGGGTTTTTTTTGCCGCAAGGCTCTTTGAGGGCCACTGTAGATTTTTCAATTACAGGTAAGCTAGACCAAATATTACAATGGCTGTTGCCTCGTACGAAGACCAATCTGAAATTTCACATTATCAGCAGTCCAGATGGCTTTTTCTCTGTTTACAGAGCAGGCCTACCTATCTGTCATTTACTTTGGCTATCTTCTCTCAGTGAGTGTCAACACAAAAATCAAACCAATCTGCAATAAAAATTTCTCAGCAAATACCCAAATAAAGTGAAACGAAGAAATCTCCCTGAGACATCCTGAAGAATATTTTTAAGTTAAGTATCTCTGAATTCAAAATCAATGTTGACACTAATGGAATTTGATCACAATTCAGAGTTAACAGAACAGTTGTCAGAAACTTCTAGCCAGTGGTTTAGAAGTTGATTGTCTTGTCATCCCTACTGGAAGAGATATAATTAGAAGGAACGTTTAAAGAGAAAATGCCTCCTTTATATTGAGATCACAGATAAATTTCTCCTTTGCACATTACAAGTCTAGACTAGTGTGCTCCTGGGGCTCTCGTAACACAGTAGTAGTGTTCCTACCTCTGAACCAGTACGGGTTTAAGTTCCATCTGCTCCAGAGGTGCATCATAACATCTCTGAAAGACCGAATCGAAAATATCTAGTCTGCTCTCTGGTTGGCTGTAGAAAATATGGATTGAAGAAATAGCCAAAAAACTCTGTCAACCCATTTTTGAGACTTTGCCAACTCGATTCTCCAAACAAAATGCAGACTGAATGTCACCTTGATTGTGTGACATTTCTTACACGTCTAATTTTTTCCTGTATGCTCTTCCAAATATAGAGATGATGTCAGATACCTTACAGTTACCATGAAAGGAAGGCTGCTTACATTGTAGTAGAAGCAGTACAATGATACACATTTCCGACTCATTCAGCTTAGATGGCTATTTTGATTCAGCATCCAGCCAGAACTGCAGAATAACTGTGCACTTGTGAGACCCGTACATACAGTAAAACAACAGACTTGACTTCATTGATCTAGCAACATAATTTCCTAAAGAGTGGACAAAGCTCAGATAAGCACTAATATGTAAGTCAAGACTACAAACAGAAGAAAGCAGCTTAGTCAATTGGGATGCTCTTTTGTCTTTGTTGCTATTGGCACTTTTCTGGTAAAAGTAAAGACAAAAGCATTCATTTCGGACAGCGTTCAAGAACAACAGTGTGAAATAAATTATTTACGAAAGGAAACCTGTCCTGTGCAGCTTGTGCACTTAGCCCAGTCACAAATTAAACTGTTTCTGTATGGCTTTTTGTGTACATTAATAGTTGACACTATAGAACATAAATATTGCTAAAAAGGCCTTCAACTTCTAGTCTTCCTTTAGCAATGTTTAACTTTTGATGTGGTGACACTCCGGTAACAGCCAGAAGAAGCATTTTAGAAGATACAATCAAGCAAAAGGTAGTCAACTTAATACAGAAATAATACAAAATTCCACTGCTTACCATCGACTTTGATGTCTATGAATTCATGAAATTGTTCCTTCCACAAGCCTAGATCTTCTTCACTTTCCTGTATATTCAAACCACAATCAAAAGTTACAGGACAATCTACTTGGTCTAGTACTTCATCTAGCTGAAACCACTGATTAAAAGTTGCTGGCAAATGTTCTATTAACTCTGAATGGTGATCAAGGTTACTGAGGGAAGTCAAGCCTAGAGTCAGAGTTTTGCATATTGGAATATCACCATTTAAACTTCACATTTTATTTCAAATGAAGTTTTGCTTTCTAAACATTTCTGTTGTCCTTAATATATTTCCTCTCATTGGGCAAGGTGACTTCCTTGTAATACCTTATCTAAAAGGTCATAACTTTATGCTTAAGTTTTGAAAGTGACTGTCAGCAAGATGGTCAACTGTGGAGGAGTCGCTACAAATTCAAACTCTGCCTTCACCCAATGTCATTCAGTCTTTTTAGAAAAGGCTGCTGAGATCTAGCAGCCTGCTTGGTTTGTACAGCTCAGTAATGCACTGTATGGTGCATGGCATCTAGAGAGAAGTCCTTGTTGGACAGTGAAATAAAGTGGAAAACACAACTGACTTACCCACAATGTGAGGTTTTAGCTGGGGCTTCTCCACTGGTTCCAAGCACTACTTTTGCAGTAGTGAACTATACAGAACAGGCAAGCCATTGTGCTAAGTTTCAGTGGGCAATAACAAGAGGATTACAATATCAGTGGCTCAGTGGTTAACTTTACTGCCTCACAGCGCCAGGGACCCAGGTTCATTTCCACCCTCGGGCAGCTGTCTGAGGGGAGTTTTCATTTCTCCCGTGTCTGCATGGGTTTCTGCCAGGTCTCCGGTTTCCACCCACAGTCCAAAGATGTGCAAGTTAGGTGCATTAGTCATGGGAAATGCAGGTTTACAGGTGATCAGGTGGGGAGGGTGGGTCTGGGCGGGATGCTCTTCAGAAGGTTGGTGTGGATTTGTTGGGCCGAATGGCCTATCTCCACACTGTGAGGATTCTACGATCTTGCTTCAGCATTATGAGTTGGGGAAGGGGAGAAGAATCAGCCAATATTCCTGATTTTTACCAGTAATTAATGACCTCCATGACAACATGTTATATATACAAACTACGAAACAAAAACAAAATGTGCTGGAGAAACCCAGCAGGTCTGGTAGTATCTATGGATAGGGAAAGAGAGTTAATGCTGCGAGTGACTTCTTCAGAACCTATGAAAGATATATCGTTTGGTTCACCAGCACCAGCTGGTGGGCGGGAAAAGAAAGTTAGAAAATAAAAAATTGAACACTTTCAAAAAAAAAACATTCCATTTGTGACATCACAGATCTATTTTTCCAAGTAACTTGAATTGAATTTTCTAACTTTCACACCAATTCTAGGAAAGCCACACTGGGGTGAAATCCTCTGAGACAGTCCTTCTCACAGAAATTTCCATTGTAGCCCCATTTTGATGCTTCAAAAAAAAAAAAAAAAAAGGGAGAAATATTACCGTGACCCCAGGGCTGAAATCAAGGCCAGAAGGAGCTACAGATGTTTGTTGGCAATGGAAGGTGAGGAAAGGATTCTTCAAGCAGGTGAGCTGGAGGGTTTTAAAGTTAGAAGTACCTGCCTTTTCACTAGATTTTTCAGCTCAGGAACGAGGCTTCATAGATCAGCAAGTTAGGCAATATTCCCTATTAAGAAGTCTTCAAGGAATTAAAGGAGCCATGCAACTGTTAGCACTTGGTCAGAGCTCACAACCATACTGCAGTTTGAGAAGACCTGCTCTGTAATAAACAGGAAATTATAGTCATGTGTTCAGAGTTCATGCCTCAATGAGATTCTCAGGCATTATGTTTCAAAGTCACGCATTCTAGTGCATCATTGACTAAAAAGGAAAAGACCTGTGAAAGTCAATAGGTGGGAGCAGTTGTTTAATTCATAGAGTTTTCAATTTAAAATAGCTCCTACTTTGATCTTTATAGGTAAATACCATATATGTTGGAAATCTGAAATAAAAGAGAAAATGCTGGAGAAAATAAGCAGGTCTGACAAATTCTGTGGAGACAGAAACAGAGTCAATGTTTTGAGTCTGATATCTACTATAAACCTACTAACTTTCATAGATACCTTGAACAAAAGAATAGTTCCGAAGAAGAGCGAAACTGGACTCAAAACATAACTCTATTTTTTCTCATAGATGCTGCTGGACCTGGTTTTCTGTAGCATTTTCTATTTTATTTGATTTCCACAGTGTTTCCACACAGTGTTCAGAACTCCACGTTCAGTAAGTTAGGCCACTTATAAAAACACCAACAATTTAGAGGAGCCATGCAGCTCTCAGTATTTGGTTACCACTCCAGAACAGCCATTGCTACCTTGAGTTCATGAGCCGAAAATTTCACTCATTACACCAGAGGATTCACAATCTAACATTTGGGAATCCCTGTCTTAGGCATTACCATTGACCAGAAACTGAACTGGACCAACCAAAAAAAAAAAACCATTGCTACAAGCATAGGTCAGAGGCTAGGAATTTTACTGTGAGTAACTCCAGTCCTGACTCTTCAAAGCCTATACACCATCTAAAAAGCATAAGTTAGGAATGTGATGGAATACCCTCTTTGCCTGAACAAAGCATGTATGGGCCATGAGCAGCAGCAGAAACAAGACAATCCACAACCTCACGGCCTTGCATGTCCCCAACTTGAACATTATCATCAAGCCAAGGGATCAATCTAGAACATAGAACAGTACAGGCCCTTCGGCCCACGATGTTGCGCTGAACTTTTACCCTAAACCTAAGATCTATCTAACCTCCACTGCTACCTTATACTATCATCCATATGCTTATCTAATAGCCACTTAAATGCCCCTAATGAGGCCAACTCCACTACCCTCTCCGGCAATGCATTCCACACCCCAACCACTCTCTGAGTAAAGAAAACCATTGAACATAGTTCAATGAAGAGTGTAGGAAGGCATCCCAGCAGCAACAAAAGGCAATAGTTGTCAGTCTGGTGAAGCTATAAAACAGGACTACTTGCATGCCAAAGTCATAATCAGTAAGTCACAGACAGAAGTATGTGATTCAACAACTATATATCAGATCTAAGATCCACAGTCCTGTTACATCCAGTTGTGAATTGTGGTGGACAATTAAATAACCCCTGGAGGAGGAGGCTCCACAGGTAATTCCATCCCCAAATATGGGGAACTCTAAATATTAGTGCAAAAGATAAGGCTGAAACATTTGCAACAATCTTCAGCCAGAAGTGCCTAATGAATGATGTATCTTATCCTCATCAAGAGATCTTCAACATCACAGATGAAAGTCTTCAATCAATTCAATTCACTGCACATGATATCAATAAGTGGCTGAAGGCACTGGATACTGCAAAGGCTAGGGCCCTGTGAACATTCCAACAATGGTGCTGAAGATGTGTGCTCCAGAACCAGCTGCTTCCCTAACAAGCTGTTCCAGTACAGCTGCCACACTAGCATTGAGACAACAATGTGGAAAATTGCCCAAGTACATCTTGCACACAAAAAGCAGGACAAATCCAACCCGGCTAATTACCGCACAGCAGTGTATCTCAATCATCAGTAAAGGGATGGAAGTAGTCATCAACAATGTTATTAAACCTGCTTAGCAATAACTTGCTCACTGACGTTCAGTTTAGGTTCTACCAGGGCTACTCAGCTCCTGATCTCATTATACTCTTAGTTCAAACATGAACAAAAAAGCTGAATTCCAGAGGTGAGGTGAGAGCTAACGTCTTTGACATAAGGCCACATTTGACAGAGTGTGGCATCAAGGAGCCCTAGCAAAACTGGAATAAATGGAAATCACGGAAAAACTCTGTGCTAGTTAGAGTCCTACATGGCACAAAGGAAGACAGTGTGGTTGTTGGAGGTCAGTCAACCCAGCTCCAAGACATCTCTGCAGGAGTTCCTCAGGGCAGTGTCCAAGGCCCAAATATCTTGTGCTGCTTCATCAATGAACTTCCTTTCATCATAAGGTCAGGAGAGGGCATGTTCACCGTTGACTAAATATTTAGCACCATTCACAACTCCTCAGACACTATGGCCATGTCCAAACGCAGGAAGACTGGGCAATATCCAGGCTCGGGCTGACAAGTGACAAGTAATATTCACATCACACATGTGCCAGACATTGACCATCCCTAATAAGAAATAATCTAACCATTGCCTTTTGACGTACAGAGGCATCACCATCACTGAATTCTACAGTATCAAGATTCTGGGGGTTATCATTGAATAGGATCAAAACTGGACCAACCATATAAATGCAAGGCTAGGGTTCTGCAGGGAATAACTGACTTACTGACTCCCAAAATCTGTCCACCATCTACAAGGCACAAATTGGGAGTGTAATGAAATACTTCCCACTTGTCTGGATGACAGCAGTTTGATACCATCCAGGGCAAAGTGTACCTTTCATTGGCACCATATTCACTGCCTCCACAACCAACACTCAGTAGCAGCAGTGTATACCATCTACATGAAAATCTGCAGAAATTCACTAAGACTCCTTGCATACGTCTTTCCAAAATCATGGTTACCACCATCTAGATGGACAAGGGTTGCAGATACATGGGAACGCCAAAACTTGCATATCACCATTCCTTCAGTGCAGCTGGGTCAAAATCCTGGAATTCCATCTCTTAAGGCATTGTGGGCATATACAAGGCAAAAGAACTCCAATTCCCACTGTTGATTTTTTAAAAATATATCTCCTTCTGTGACTCTGTCTAATACTTTGTCCTATCAAGCATCTGAAGCGTTTCATTACCTTAAAGATGCTATACAAATAAATTAACTATTGTTGAAATGTTTGGCACTTTTTTCTCTAATTCTAGGATCATAACTCAATACGTTCATTATTTTGAAATAGATGTCAACTTTTCGTGCCAGTTTGCTGGAGCAGACACCCTATCAGCAAATAAAGAACCAGTGTCAGTTCACCCAAGTCCTAAAGCTCGAGAAGCCCATTTCAAGGTTGCAATCTTTTTACATCAACAATTGCCAAGTGGTAGAAGAGGGGCAGAATTTGCTTACTAATAATGAAAATTCATTGAAAATGTTAATCGCCTTTTGTATTGTTGACATTTAAGAATTTTAGATTCCTCGAATCCTTGATCGTTCAGTCAAAAGTTCTCTATAAGCCATTTACTCTAAACTTAGAAATCTAATGGCTTTACTGCAAAAACTCTCAAAATCTGAGACAGTCTCTTGCTCCCTCCCGCTGATGGTCTGGTATGCACTTCCTGAATGAGTTTGCTCCCAACTTTCCTTGATCACCACACTGGGATAGACAAAAGCAGCAGATGATCCAAGGGAGATTTTTACGGTACATATGTCTATGAGGAACAAACTTTTACCATCATTCCTGCTTTCTAATATTTGGACAGTTTTCCAAACACCAGCTAATTGTCCATTTACCTTCTCCGTCTCCACGTCACATTTCCTTTTGCTCTCCTGTCTGCTTTCTCTTGTGTTTCTATACGCACAAAACAGCAAATTACAATTCTGAGCTTCATTGCCAAATATAACAATTGTTTTCGAAGCAAAATAGTTAATGTACTTGAATTTGTATTCTATTTTAGTATACCTGCTAATCCTTCAAATTAATATCAACAACTTCATTCAATTTTTACAGTATTTTTCACATTAAATTAATCTTTTAGTTTGCAACATGTTTGTTTTTCACTAAAAAGAGGGATGTCAGTGCTGGAAGCAAAGAACATTAGCATTCAATTGCACATATCTATGCCAGGAGCAGACTCAGCATAATTGAATTCCTACAGTGTGGAAACAGGCCACTTGGCCCATCGAGTACACACCAACCCTCCAAACAGCATCCTACCCAGGACCAGAACCCTACCCCTATCCCTGTTACCCTGCATATCCCATAGCTAATCCACCTAACCTGCACACCTTTAAGCTGCGGGAGGAAACGCACGTAGACACAGGGGGAGCATGTGCAATCTCCATTGCTCAAGGGTGGAACTGAATCCAAGTGCCTGGCGCTGTGAAGCAACAGTGCTAACCACTAAGCACATGCCATCTGTAACCTGTCGCAATGATTTACAGTAGACTTGCTGGAGTATAAATTGTATGATATTTTTAATGCATTGTATTCTTAAAAGTAAGCAGAGCTCTGATAATTTAATTGCTTTGGCAATTTGTTTCTTCTTTTAAATATATCCTTGCGTTTACTCAAAAGGAATCTGCAACTCACTGTCTGTAAGGATGGTAGAGGCAGAAATCCTCATAACATTTCATAACTATTTAGGTGGGCACTAGTGATGCCAAGGCATGCAAGACTACAGGCCAAGTGCAGGAAAACGGGATTAGAACAGTAGATCATAGAAGATCACAGAATCCCTACAGTGTGGAAACAGGCCCTTCGGCCCAACAAGTCCACACCAACACACAGAGCATCCCACCCAGACCCGTCCCCCTAATCTACACATCCCTGAACACTATGGGCAATTTAGCATGGCCAATCCACCTAGCCTGCACATTTTTGGATTGTGGGAGGAAACCGGAGCACCTGGAGGAAACCCACGCAGACATGGGGAGAATGTGCAAACTCCACATAGACAGTCACCCGGCAGTAGAATCCAACCCAAGTCCCTGGCACCGTGAGGCAGTAGTGCTAACCACTGAGCCACCGTGCCTTCCGAATAGTAGGTGCCTGTTTTTGAGCAGCGCAGACTCGATGGCCTGTAGGGTGTTTTCTGCACTGCAGACCTCTATGATCTAGCAATCTTACAAAGCATAATCTTCAGTTATCACAAATCATTTTACAGCCAATCAAGCTTTTTTTAATCAACAACTAAGGCAATTAATTGCACCCAACAAGGTTCAACAGTGAATGACCAGATAATCTGTTTGAACGATTTTAGTTGCAGAATAATTGTTATCCAGGACACTGGGGGAACTTCTCTCCTCCCCTTCAAAAGAGTGCCATGGGATATTTTACATTTGTCCAAAAAGGCAAACAAACCATTCATTTAATGTCTCACTCACTGACATATGCAAATGGATTCCTGGCCAGTCTCCTATCTTCCAACCTCCTTAAATTTAAGCACATCCAAACCTTTTCGCGCTAACTCGAGTGAATCTCATTGAGCCATTCACCCTCATGCTCACTGACTCACATTAACTCCAAGGCAAACAATTCCTTGATATTAAAATTTTCATTTCATTTCAAGTTCTGTTAAGACCTCACCTCTCCTTGTGACGTAACTTTATTAAGCACACAACTGTGAAAGATATCTGCACTGCTCCACTTCTGTGCTCTTGTGGCTCTGTTTCAAATGTGCCATATCAATGCAGTTTGTTGTGTTTGACTCAGAGGGAAACAGTGCTACCATTTTGTTTCATCCTAGCATTCTAACAATACTACAATCACCAGTTACATAAAACAGAACCAAAGACGAAAGAAAGTCCTTAAAGGTTAAAAGCACAGAAGCACAGAAAGACGCCAGACGGATTATTCAACTTAAACTCACACTCAGAAGGAATTGTTCTTGGATAAGGTTTGGATGAATCAAAATTTAGTTCACTGAAAGGCAACACTATAGGTTAAGGGATTGAATCAACTTCAATTTGTTTAGGGTTAAATATTCAGTAAAAGTAAATGAGGTTTAGTTGAAGATGTACACAGACAGTATAAAGGATGGAAACATTTGATCAGCAAAGATAACAAAGGTCTTTGGCAAAATATAGACAACACCATTGCATAGAATGAGTTAACTTACACTGTGACATCTAGTCAACAGATCAAATAAGAACTTAATAAATGCTGTGCGCAAAACCTAGAAACTGTTGAACTCTGCAGAGTGAATTACTGATAGGATTGAGTCTCCTTATGTGTGCTCAAATAAAGTAATTGTTATCTTGTACAAGACAACACAGTATGGAGCTGGAGGAACACAGCAGGCCAAGCAGCATCAGAGGAGCAGAAAAGTTGACGTTTTGGGTCAGGACCCTTCTTCAGAAAATTTTCTGCTGTGTTCCTCCAGCTCCATACTGTGTTGTCTCTGACTCCAGCATCTGCAGTTCTTGCGATCTCATTGTTATTTTGTACTTGAGTCTTCTGGCAGTTTGCCAAGTCGAATGACAACAACAGAGAAGTAGGGAATTTGTATATTCTGATACATCTGAATCCGTGAATCAATCTAAAGGAAAATAGAATTGTGCTAGAATGTCTTGGAAAAATAAATTCATCGCAAAGTGGTCAATATCAGAATAAGATGATCATTCCATTATTAGAGAGAAAAGATTCATAAGACTGTCGTTTGTATGGGAAAGGCACAATACTTGTCATTTGAGACTCATTTCCATTTATCTTTGAACAGATTTGTGCTTGATCTATACCTAAATATAGGACAGCACAATCCAGCTCTACACCTTGTTATCTCAGATTCCCTGGCATCTGCAGTTCCTACTATCTCAGCACAAGTGAATCTTCAGTTTATACCTTCACCTGAACACATATAAACGTACAATTACTATATAATTAACGTCTGAACTTGGGATTGCTTTATAATGTTTAGGACTACAAAGTGAAAGCCAAAATGATGGGGTTGTTGGTAAGACATAGCTGGGCTTAACATTGTACTCAATCTAGAATATCACCTTTCCATCAGATGTCGATATTTATCAGCAAAAGGGAACACTGCTCGATTTCTCTCCATCCCCTTCTATCCCAGGGGCTATTAGAACCATTGTAACCATGTGGCTTTACCCACATGGTCCACTTAGCATACCTGGCAGCATTTTCACTTCTCCTTAAATGGCTGTGGGTTCAAACCCCTGACAGTTGACCTCAACTAGATTAAATTATTGGTGTAGAACTGAAGAAATATTAAAATTTTTGGAAATTTTTTTTTATAAGATCATGTTTTGTTTGAGATAAGAAAGAGTTCATAATATTGACTTAAAAACACTAATGGGGTGTTTTGTCAACATTTTTCTCCCAATAAAAATAAAACAAAATGCTGATTCATTGGACCGTTGTACAGAAATTAATAATATAAAGTCATAAGACAAGAGCTCATGGTGTTGGAGGTAGTATATTGGTGTGGATAAAAAAAAACTGGCTGATAGGCAGGATACAACGAATACAGATAAGGGGTTCTATTTCAGGTTGGCGACTGTGGTCAGTGGGGTTCCACAGGGATCAGTGCTGGGACCACAACTGTTCACAATAAATATTAATGACTTGGAGGCTGGAAGTGAATGAATTGTAGCCAACTTTGTAGACAACACAAAAATAGGTGGAAAGACAGGCTGCGAAAAGGATGCTAACAGTTTATAGAAAGACATTGACAGGTTACATAAATTAGCAAAATGTTGGCAAATGGAGTATTATTTAAATGAAGAAAAATTGCAGAACACTACAACACACAGGGACCTGGGGGTACGTGTGCATGAAACACAGAAAGCTAGCACACAGGTGCAGCAGGTAATCAGGAATGTTAATGGAACGTTGGACCTTATTTCAAGGGGCTTGGAGTATGAGAGTTGGAAAATCTTTATGTAACTGTACAACATGCTGGTAAAACTACATCTGAAGAACTGTGTACAGCTTTGGTCCCCTTATTTAAGAAAAGATAGAATTTCATTGGAGGCAGTTCAGAGAACATTCACTAGGATGATCCCTGGTATGGAGGGATTGTCTTATGAGCAAAGGCCAAACAGGTTGGGTCTCTACTCACTGGAGAATAGAAGAATGAGAGGTTATCTCATTGAAACATACAGGATTCTTAACAGGGTTGACAGGGTAAATGTTGAGAAGATATCTTCTCTGATGGGAGAATGTGCGACCAGAGGGTATAGTCTTAGAATAAAGGGGCATCATTTTAAGACTGAGATGAGGAAGAATTTCTTCTCTCAGAGGGTTGAGAGTCTTTGGAACTCCTTGTCACGGACAGCTGTGGACACAGAATTCTTGTTCAAGGCTGAGATAAATAGATTCTTGATCATGAAGGGAATCAAGGGTTACAGGGAACAAGTTGGAAAGTGGATGTGAGGAATGTCAGATCAGCCATGATTCTATTGAATGGCAGAGCAGACACAAGGGGCCAAATGGCCTTCTCCTGCTCTTATTTCTTATGGTTGTACGGTAGAGCCTTTCTCATCACTGAAGTCTGAAAGAACATAGATAAAACAAAGAGCTGTGGATGCCATAAATGTGAAACTAAAACAGAAATTGCTGGAGATCCTCTGGGTCTGGCAGCATCCGTGGAGATAAAGCAGAGTTAACATTTTGGGTCCCGTGACCATTTGACAGCACCCTGAGGATGCTGAAATTCTCCAGCAAATTTTGTTTTTGCATTTGAAAGTACTTTCGAGTTAATTAAGTACTTTTGATCATTGTCACAGTCTTGTAGAAAATACCTATTTGTACACAGCAAAACCCCCCAACAATAATCTGATAACAACCTGATAATGTTATTGTGAGATAACAAGGTGTAGAGCTGGATG